TCACATGTGGTCAAAGCATTGGAGTTTCATGTTTAGTATTAGTCCTTCCAATGAATATTCAGGACTGATTTCCTTGCAGTCCAAGGGACTCTCAAGAGTCTTCTCCAACACCACAGTTCAAAAGCATCAGCTCCCTTTCAGATCACATTAAAACATAGCAAGAGGTTCCCTGGAGGCTCAGATGATAAAAGAATATGCCTGCAAAACAGGAGACTCAGGTTTGATCCCTGGGTCAGGAAGATCCCCTGGAGAAGGGAATGGCAACCCACTCCAGTATTCTTGCCTGGAGAATTCTGTGGACAGAGGAGCCTGGCAGGCCACAGTCCACAGGGTCGCGAGTCAGACACGACTGAGTAACTAACCCTTTCACTTTTTCAATTGCGGCAGAGCTGGAGGATTTGCTATCAATGGATGCAGAGTAAGAAAATTCTCCAACTGAATTAGGAAGAGATTTTCAAATATGATTAAAACCAATGATCAAAATAGGAATGGGAAGACCTCCCTCCTCTTTCAAGGGGTAGAGGACAGCAGGGCATGTTTTTTCAAAATGATCCAGGGAAAGCTCTCAAGAGAACACTAAAGCCAGAGGCTTCAAAGAGAAACAGCTGTCTCCTCTGCTACAACATACTTAGTGCAGAACCAGAAGAGACAAAAATGGCAAAATTGGAGCTGGAATAGTGAAAAATCAAAGAGCACGTGAGAAGTTTTTACAGATAGAGTGATAACAGAAGAAGGAAGACTCAGAAACCTAAAGACACCACCCACAGGGTCTTAAAATCAGCAGGATTGAAGGAAGAAAGGATGGGTGGGGAGCTGGTGAGGGAAAGAAAGCCACAGGTGGGGACAGAACTCAAAGGGAACATAGGAAAGTTCTGAAAGCCAGCAAAGGTAATCTATAAGGAACCCAAGAGGACACAGAGATAAATGAGGCATGTCCTTGCCGTCGACATGCCCTTAATCTGGACATGAAGATCTAGATACAATTACCTTTAACAAAAATTGTGACCTAATGATACAGGAACACAACATGAGAATATGTGAATTGAAAAAAGTAGCCTTTGAAATGAACTTTAAGATATACATGGTTCGCTTTGGAGTGGAATTTAGGTAGGAACACTTGGGTCAAAAGTGTTCTGGGAATGGGGAGCAACACGGATAAGGCATAAAACTGTAAAAGAATTCTAAGAGCTCTAACATAGCCTGAACTATTGCCAAACACACAAGAAGAAAGGTTTTCAGTCGGTTAATAATTAACAAGTAGGTGATAAATTGAGTAGGGTGATCTCATTATTCAACAGGAGCGGAGTTCCTAAGTGGACTAATCACTAAAATCTAGCATTGCATTGATGTCATCTACCAAGATCATAAAAAAAACATGAATTCCTGATGTCCATCCCAGAAAGATTCCAATTTAATAATTTTAAGGTAAGTCTCAATGTAATCAGTTAATGAGCCTGAGTATGTGGGAACCATGGAAGATTTTTGAGAGATCTTGAGGAAACTTTTCACCATATTTCTGAATGAATAAAATATGATAAGACAAATACAACAAGAATATGTTACTGTGATAAATTAGGTAACAGTTCTCAGTTTTTCACTGTCTCTTGTAATAAGATCTTGCCATGTCCAAGAGTGGGCAGAGTACACCTCTCCACTCCATTGATGTTGGGTAAGTATCCCAAGTAATGTGGATAGGATGACAGTGTCTAGTCCAGGACCAAAGTTTTAAGAGGGTGTTCTATCTTTTAAATACCTGCCATCAATCATGAGAATATGGCAGGTGCTTCATTCAGAAAGAATACGGAGATGCATAGAACAGACCTAAACCCAGCTTGGTGCCAAACAAGCCAAACAGCATCCTGAGGAAGAAATGCCCCAGCAGACCTGCAGGCCTTTGAGTAAGAAAAATAAATGCCTAGTGCTATAAGTTATTGAGTTTTGGCAAAGTGTGTTATACCACATTTTTACAGCAATAGCTGACTAATACACTAATTAATTTAAATTCAAGGCTATGCTGCATCCTAAACTCAATTCCCATCCCAAATTATGCAGTTACTCTATTCAAAATAACTAACTTCCCAAATGTCTTATAGAAATCAAAAGGCAATATAAAAATACTCTATTTAATGTGGGAATGTAACAAGTTCAAATTATATTCCCACATGTAATAGGACACAAGTCAATCTCACCTTCTACCTCATATGCAACATGACATTTCCCAAATCCATTCCTGAAGAAATCTAATCCCATGCTACTGTAGACAGAGATCACAATAGAGTCTCCAAGGTAAGGAGGGAAGGCTGAAATGATCCTTCCCGTTCAACCTCAGCAGGATGCCAGGGAGTCTATCATAGTTTGGAAAATTCTACATTTGATGCTACACTCAAGTATGAGAAACCTCACAAGAAAATGTTAAGCATTAGTGTGGCTGAATCTAGAGTCTGATACACAGAGTGAAGTGAGAGAGAGAAAAGCATATATTGTATATTAACACATACATGTAGAATCTAGAAAAAATGGTACTGATGAACCTACTTGCAGGGCAGGAATAGAGGCAGAGACAGAGAATGGGCTTGTGGACACAGCAGGGGAAGAAGATGGTGGGATGAACTGAGAGTGGCCTTGACATGTATACTGTCTCATGTATGCCATTTGCGAAATAGACAGCTGGCGGGAAGCTGCTATGCAGCACAGGGAGCCCAGCTCAGCGCTCTGTGATGACCTGGATGGGGGAGGAGGAGGCCCAAGAGGAAGGGGATATACATACACACGTAACGGATTCGCTCAGTTGTGCGGTAGAAGCTAACACAATATTCTAAAGCAATTGTGAAAGTGAAAGTGTTAGCTGCTCAGTCATGTGCCCGACCCTCTGCAACCCCATGGACTGTAGCCCGCCAGGCTCCTCTGTCCATGGGATTCTCCAGGCAGGAATACTAGAGTGGTTTCCCATTTCCTTCTCCAGGGGATCTTCTCCACCCAGGGATGGAACCTGGGTCTCCTGCATTGCAGGCAGATCCTTTACCATCTGAGCCACGGTACATAATTTAAAAAAAAAAAAAAGATGTTAATCATTAAATGTTGATTATAACATTATGGTTAATACACATAGGGGATAGGTTCTCCTTTCAGAGAATAACATTGAGATACTCATGTCTTATAAAATTTAAGAACTTGCAATGATGTCAACCATATTTTTTGCAATCACCAGGTTTTCCTTTAGTGATGCTTCACTACCTTATTCAGTAAGTCTTCTTCATTTCTATATTCTTTTTGAGCCCTGAGTTCCAACCACACCAATGCTAAATTAAGAGTGAGCCCTGTCAAGTGAGTTAACGCCTTGAGTACAGATTCTTTTAGTCCTGTGCCAAAGGCTTCGGAATTGTTAGAGCCAAGAAAACCTGCTTCTTTATACCTATATTATTTTTCTGCTTGAGAACCACCTCTATCAGATTCCTGAACTAAAGTTGTCATAGATGGTTCTAGAAACCTGTGTCCCAAGGGCTCAATGAGAACCGAACTTCTGCCATTATTCTTTTCAAAAGTCTAGCCTTTGCTTGGTCTTTTAATGCCTGAGCCTTGAATAACCATTTCAATGGCAGCAAGATATTTCCATATGTCACATCTTTCCTTGCAGCAGTGGGATATGCCTCTGGTAGTCTACTTACCTCTTTTATTTCCCTGTTCCTTTAAGAAAACCCAGCTGTGCTTTTAATAGCTTATTTTGCTTCTTAGTTAGCTGCCTTTCCTTCTCTACTGAGCAGGGACAACCACTCTGTCCAAAGAGAAACCCTTCCAAGTCTAAGGTACTGTGCGTGCATGCGTATGTGCATGCATGCTAAGTCACTTCAGTCACGTCTGACTCTGTGCGACCCTATGGCGTGTAGCCCACCAGGCTCCTCTGCCTATGGGATTCTCTAGGTAAGAATACTGGAGAGGGTTGCCATGCCCTCCTCCAGGGGATCTTCCTGACTCAGCAATCAAACCCACATCTCTTGTGTCTCCTCCATTGGCAGGCAAGTTCTTTACCACTAGCACCAGCTGGGAAGCCCCTAAGGTACTGAAGTTTGATCCAATTCATTTCAACTGGTTTATGGGGTTTGGGACATCTCTGCATTTATTTTCCCCTTGCTTCACATGCATTTAAACTGTTAAGATATTTAAATCATTTGAGGTGGTAGATCCTGTGTAATTCATAAACAGCCAACCCAAGGGCTGAGAACCCATAGATAAGAGGAAAATGAAAATGGCAGAAAGAGAGTGATGAAAATTTGGGAATTTTGAGACACAGGCTATATGTGTGCAAGTGTTTTGGGCTTTGAGGGTAAGACCAGAATATTTAGCAGCTGTAAATATTTTTAACACCTTTGAGACTTGAATATGACAGTATATGCTAGTGCTTTGGAAAGTATCAAATCCAGAGAGTAAGGGACTTTTATTAGTAGTCATCACCATTTTTTAAGATGCCACTAATGACTATTTACAGAGAGATGTGGCCAGGAGTGCTGGCATCAGGGAAACTTTCTGGATGCGAGAGACTGTCCTTGCCTTCGAGGTTGGTAAGAGTAAATTCGCATCCATTTTCAAGCCTAAGGCTATGGTAAACACAGGTACTTTGTCAGGTAAGACAAGGTTTTTCCAGCCTGAAAAGGAAATGTCACCTGGTCCCTGCCGCTGGCCTGAATTTAGCCCACAAAGAGCTCCGCCCCCCAAGTCCAGAGCAGAGAAGAATAATGGTAGGGATCTGGGCTGTCGGAGCTCAAGGCCAAGTTAGACTCACCAGCTGCATCTGTACCAGGACCCTCCTGGTTCCAGCCAAGAATGAACAAACCCTCTGACTCCAAAGCCTCCAGGACATGTGGGGTGGGGGCAAAGGTGAAAAATTATATGGGAGAGATTCATCTTCATCTCTCAGGCATGATCAGATTTGGGTTTGGACCGTCCTTACTAACGGGCATAGCCAAATGACAGCACAAAGCTGGCAGAGACCAACACAGACCCTGTTAGAGCAAATCCTCAGGGGGCTCTGCTGTCCCGGATCGTTTGGATGGAGGAAGCAAATGCTTGCCAGGGGACGAGAGGTCCAGAATGAACGCCAGCAGGCCCTGGAGCACTTGGAGAAGATCCAGGGAGAGCAAGTGTCGACCTTCGAAGCTCACAGAGCTAGAGTCTAGTAGAAAGGCACGGGTGGCCTCCAGCCACCACGGCAGGTGGAAAGCTCGGAGCGTGTCCCCGAAAGGTAATGAGGCCACCTGAGGGAGGCGCAGTCACGTCCCACTCTTCCTGACCACATGGACTGTAGTCCACCAGGCTCCTCTGTCCGTGGAATTCACCAAGCAGCAATCCTGGAGTGGGTTGCCATTTCCTTCTCCAGGGTGTTCTCCTGACCCAGGGATGGAACCCAGGTCTCCTGTATTGCAGGCAGATTCTATACAGTTTGAGCCGCGAGAGAAACCCAATGAGGCTGCCTGGGGGTCAGGAAACCCATCAGTAAGAACAATGTCCAGAGAGCAGCTGCCCTGGCGTTGATTCTGCATGTGACTGAGGACAGGTGACTGAACTGTGTCCAGACCTCAGCACACGGAAGCTGCACGGCCAGACAGCCTGTGTTCCCCAACGAGGAACCCTGTGGAATGATGGGCACCTGCCTTGGAGAGACAGTGTCAGAACCCCTTTGTCACATAGCTCTTTCTATTTCACTTTCCCAGCGCTGTACACCTCTCATGCAGGGCTGATCCACCCTACAAATACTCATTAAAATTCACAGAACTCTGTCCTAGAAGTACACACAGAGGCCCTCAGATGCATTTGAGAACCTGAAGAAGAAGGATTTTCTGGTCTTCACTAAGAAATCATTGCAGCGGCTTTATCCAAGCTCTTTCCTGGGCTCTAGGACAGAACCAGTGAAGAATCTGCCTGCAATGCAGGAGACCTGGCTTCAATCCCTGGAGAAGAAAATGGCAAACCACTCCACTATTCCTGCCTGGAGAATCCCAAGGACAGAGGAGCCTGCAGGCTACAGTCCATGGGGTCACAAAGAGTAGGACATGACTGAGCAACTAACACTTACACTTACTAATGAAGACAAAGTGGGTTTTCCTGGCACAATAGGGTATTTTAGGACAATCAGAATTCCAGTCCTGGCTCCAGAACTTACTAGATGAGTAACATGAGCTGAATGTCTTCACTCTCGAAGGCCCTGAAAAAATGAGGACAACAACATTAACTCTGTTCATTTCCTACCTTAATAGTCTGCGATAAAGATTAAATGGAAAATCCAGTGCCCACAAACTTTGGTTTTTTTAAACTTTGAAACATACATAAATATTTCTATTAGTGGGTCTATGTCTTCTTATGCCACATCCATTAGAAGAACTCAAAGGAAAATAAAAGGTGAGACCAAATTAGACAAGACTCTCCCTCAGAACTCATGGCTCTGAAGTGAACTTCCTGTCACTAATTAGCGGAACAAATGCCCACAGAACCACTGGCATTTATTGGGGAAAAGTCTTCTCTTATGTCTCAGAAGGTAAAGAATCTTCTGGCATGCAGGAGACCAGGATTCGATCCGGAGACAGGAAGATCCCCCACAGATGGGAGTGGCAACCCACTCCAGTCTTCTTTCCTGGAGAATCCCATGGACAGAGGCGCCTAGTGGGCTGTAGTCCATGGGGTTGCAAAGAGTCAGACATGACTGAGTAACAAACATGTTCACGTTCGTATTTTATTGTGGAAAGGGAGCTAAGAAGTTCTCTAGTAGAAACAGAATAACACAGCAGAGGAAGGTTTGGATCTGAAGTCAGATCCCCTGGCTCTGTTCCTCACCTCCTTGAGTAAACACTGAGTCTTGCTAAGTCTCAGGTCCTTGTCTCTAAAACAGTGACAATTGAACCCGGCTCGTGGGGTTATTTTGGAGATGGATCAAGGTAATGTGTATAAAATGCTTAGGATGCTGTGCTTAGCACTTAATAAGTGCTCTGTAAATGATGGCTATTGGAGAAGGAAATGGCAACCCACTCCAGTACTCTCACTTGGAGAATCCCATGGACGGAGGAGCCTGGTGGGCTACAGTCCATGGGATCGCGGAAGAGTCGGACACGACTGAGTGACTTCACTTTCATTTTTCACTTTCACACATTGGAGAAGGAAATGGCAACCCACTCCAGTGTTCTTTCCTGGAGAATCCCAGGGACAGGGGAACCTGGTGGGCTGCAGTCTATGGGGTCACACACAGTCAGACACGACTGAAGCGACTTAGCAGTAGCAGCAGCAAATGATGGCTATCACTGTTTTATGGAGGCCAATTCTGCAGTGCAGAGAAACTAAGTGGTTTGTACAAACAAAAACCTGAACTCACAGTCAAGTCTTTCTCCAGGAGCTCACACAGAATTTCATGGTTTCTTTGTGATTTGGAAACCCAGAACAACTCTGCTTCCCAGGTGACTCAGATGATAAAGAATCTGCCTGCAAAGTGGGGGACTCACGTTCAATCCCTGGGTAAGGAAGATACCTTGGAGAAGGGAATGGCAACCCACTCCAGTATTCTTGCCTGAAGAATTCCATGGACAGAGGAGCCTGGCAGGTTACAACCCATGGGATCCCAAAGAGTCGGACATGACAGCGACTAACATTATCTTTAGAAAAACCTTGGCTGGGTATCTGGACGTCCATACCTACTGTTAGGAATGTTCATAACTTCCATGTTCAGTCACCTTTCAGCTCAGGTTCAGTGCTGAAAAAAACTAACATGAATTAAACTAAAGAAAAAAGAAGCAAAACAAAACACACCAAGGCAAATGCACAAAAGAAGACCAGCTCATGCTAACATTACGCACCTTCCTTACCATCAGAAGGTCATTTTCTGATGCCAATTTTATATCAATTTTAAGCAGTGTTAAAATGCCAAGAAATACCTTATCTTGAATTGGATTCATTGCATAGGTGTCTCCAAAGATAATTACTGAGTTTTCTTATGCATGTCCTGGCACTGTCCTTTGTCAGTTCGGTTACAATTGCAGAAGAAACATTTCATAGGAGGGCACTTAATATTGCCAAAGAGATCAGTTTCCTCCCTTCTCTGGCATCACAGATCTTACTACACTGAGGGAGCTCCTCTGTTCTGCATTATCACAGATCCAATATGAATGGAAGATCTTCTTTTGGCTAGAATTGTTGACAATGTAAGCAGGGGAAAAGGCCTTTCCTCTGAAGAAGCCAGAGTTAAGTCACAAAGCAGGAGGAGGAGCAGTCTTGTATCTAGTCCCTGGAGTTAGCCTGGTTTCTCCTCCATCTGCCAAAAAAAAAAACTTCCCTGATCAAAAGAGACTGTTCTCTCTTCCCATTAGTCTCCATCAACTCTGTAAATCTAGAGCCAACTCTCTCTCACTGGGTTTTAAAGCATTCAGCACACTGGGAATTTAGTAATTCTGATGTAGATGTTGGCCAAGGGCTCCAATTTGTTACTACAATGCTGCTTCACTTATGAGGGCTCCCTCTGGCATGGAAACCTGAAGGACATACTCATATTAAAATCTCCCCCCAGGGATCTTTCTCTCTGATGAAACTTTGAACTCAGTATCTGCAAAATGTGTTTGGCCACACAACTGTTTGCTAGTGTTATCTGTTCTCTTGATATCTCATTGTGTTATTTAATTCTTTAGTAATTAAAATAAGTCTTGGGCTTGTCCCACTGTACCAACTGATTTCAAATTCCCTGAAATCAAATTATATGTTGTTATCTGCATTGAGGGTCTTGGCAGTGGTGTTCAGCCAAAGTACCTGGTATATCTTTGCCTTTGTGTCACTCAACTAAAATCACACACACAGTAACACACTGTAATTGCATACATATACATTTTGCCTTCATGTGTTCCCTATACTGTAGGATGAATAAGAATTATAAAAGAGTCATAAATAGGTTTCTGTTGCCTGTACCAGCACTCAGGAGCTGTAACACCTTAAAGCCCCAGAGGGTGACAGTGAATGGTGAGCTCAGAAAAGGTGGGAAATTATGTTAACCACATCACACTTGCTCCACAGGAAGAGATAAATAATGCCCAAACCTACTGTGAAAAGGAACTTCCACAAAACTCTTCTCTCCTCCAGACTTCTCCCAATTCTAACCCTTCCCATCACCTAGACAACCTTCATGACAAGGGAACAGCAGAGATTGCCTGTTTGTACTATCCACGAGTCTCATCTCATCATGAAGTATTCAATTATTTACAACATCCCCACAGTGTCCTTGGCCAGGGTCCTTAGCAAACAATCTTCTTTGAAGCAGTCAGTTTGCCAAAATTTTATATTATCAGCAGGCTTGCGGAAACACTTAAGGAACGATGCAGAGAATGGCAAAGCTACCATAAAACAATTACTTAGGCTATCAGAAGAAAGAAAAAGATACTGTGCAAGCATACAATGCCCCACAGTGATTCTCTCTTGAGAGCAATGATGTTGGATCTTTCCCTGAGAACTCTACTTGAACAGGAAATCTTGACAGGGTTCATGTTAGACCTCTGGGGTGACTGGCCTCTGAATGCACTTTGACATTTCAAACCACACCTCTCCTCTGATTCTTTGGGGGTTGCTGCCTAGAGAGCTGTCCTGAGGATTCTCATAAACAGATCAGGGTCAGCAGGATAGCACATTGATAGCTTAGCAATGCCTGCCAGGAACAAAGATGGCAGTGGTGGCACGATTGCCAGGACTTGGTCAGCCCTAAATTAGATGTTCCAAACAGGAACTCTCCTAAGTTACCATGGAAAGTCTGAGGGGAGGCATTACAAATGTTTCCAAATATCATATTTGAGTTAGGCCTTTAAAAGGGACAGGATTTCAGCATGTGAGTAAGAGGGGCAATCTGAGCAGTGAAGGGCAACAGCATAAGCAAAGGCACAGAAGCAGAGATACAGGGGGCTTTTGCACCTTTGAGGAACAGTGCATAGGCTATTGCATCTCTTGATAGATCCAAGAGATGCTGCTGACCCAGGGTCCAAGTCAGTGACGTACAGGAGAAACCCAACGTGATGAAACAACCTATATGTCCATCATCAGATGAATGGATAAAGAAGACACAGCACATGTGAGTAGTAGGATATTACTCTGCCACATAAAAGAATGAAGTTGGGTCATTTGTAGAGATGTTGATGGACCCAGAGTCTGCTGTATAGAGTAAAGTCAGAAAGAGAAAAACAAATATCGTAGAATCTAGAAAATATATGGAATATGTGGAATTCCACAAATACGTGGACTC